GAGTGTCCATATAGAATCTATAACGACCTTCCCACAATAAACTCCATGTAGTCTGAAATGAAATCGGGAAAAAGTGTTCCATAGAGTTTTACGCATTACTCCCGCCGTTTACCCGTGTACTTTTATGGATTTACATTTTCTGAGAGGGGAAGGAGAGGGGAATGTTGGAGGAGAGGAGAGAACGGAAGAGAAGGAAGGGGTATGATAATTGTCAGGAAAAAGCGCCAAACCATTACGACTATATAGCACTGGGAAGGGCTCAGGATAAGGATTAGGGATGGGACGGGGGCAAAGGAATGGTGCCCCCAGCCACTTAGACGGTCGGGGATTGAGCGCCGACCTGCAAGAAGCGAGACCGTCGTTCTACCGTCCAAGGGAAGAGAAAGCCAGAGGGAAGAGAGAGGCAGGTGAGGGAGCAGGGAAGAAAGAGATTGGAGAGGTGAGGAGAGGAAGAGGGGAGAGGGAAAGATTTGGAGACGGAGCAGAGAGAGTAAGAGAGATTGAGAGGGACGAGAGACCCGGGCACTTCCGGATACACCACCACCTAGCTATATGCATATATAAAGCTATTTAATTCGTTCAAAAGTGAACCTTTTGACTATACACGAGACACAACTCGTCCTCGAACCAAATCCATTACATCCAGCGGTCGACCCCACAGACGCATTCATACATTTTAACATGCTGTTGATTCAAAACGGTAATTTTCTCAAATATAAATTAATATTCTAATATATTAGCATATTGTGCACATATAGGCATAGGTTAGGTTAGGTGTTTAGGTTCTGTTGGCGATTATTTGTATTTGCAGTACGTGGGTGAAGCATTTACAGCGTTGTGGTTCGAACAAAACTCATCAGTGAAGCACTTGTTCCGGAAGTGTTCGAACGAAATCAGTATTGAGTCGTGTATGTACACCGTTTTTCATGCATAAACAGGGGGTTTGGCGGGTGCATGGAATCACTTTTGGGTCTTCGTTTGGAGGACGGGCTGACGAGACAATTTGAAAACCTCTAAATAACATAGAGGATAATGACTATTTTTTTTGTTTTAATAACTACTGGGATGCCAGTTCACCCGATTCACAGGTGACTCGGATAAAGTTTCACCTGTGCTAATTACAAGAATTCGTCTGTTCACAAAAATACTAAAAATCGGTTCGTATTAGTGCACGAATAATTACAAAGTATATATATATATATATCAGAACACACCCATACGAGTATGACCCCATACTCTGGGTCATGGGGGTGACCCCATATTCTGGGGTCATGGGGTGACCCATACTCTGGGGTCATGGGGGTGACCCCATAATCTGGGGTCATGGGGTGACCCCATACTCTGGGGTCATGGGGGTGACCCCATACTCTGGGGTCATGGGGCGGCCCCAGAGTAATGGTGTGGAGGAGATGGGTGGCTGATCATATTGAAGTCCCGTCTGCACTTTTCCTCTCATTAGCCACTGTTGCTCGAGGCGTATACATGGGGGCTGTGTACACATATGTATACATGGGGGCTGTGTACACATATGTATACATGGGGGGGCTGTGTACACATATGTATACATGGGGGGGCTGTGTACACATATGTATACATGGGGGGGGCTGTGTACACATATGTATACATGGGGGGGCTGTGTACACATATGTATACATGGGGGGGCTGTGTACACATATGTATACATGGAGGGAGCTGTGTACACATATGTATACATGGGGGGGCTGTGTACACGTATGTAAACATGGGGCTGTGTACACATATGTATACATGGGGGGGCTGTGTACACATATGTATACATGGGGGGCTGTGTACACATATGTATACATGGGGGGGCTGTGTACACATATGTATACAGGCAGTGTATAGCCAGACGGGATAGAGCACGACCTGAGGATGTGTATAATTGTTTTGTGTTCGTTTGGTTGGTAGGTAGAGGCGGTTAAGGTAAGGTAAGGTAAGGTAAGGTAAGGTAAGGTAAGGTAAGGTAAGGTAAGGTAAGGTAAGGTTAGGGTTGTCTCTGTTTAGTTAGGTTGGGTTAGGTCAGGTTAGGATAAGCTATGTTAAGCTAGGCAAGGCTAGGTTAGGCTAGTCTAGGTTAAGTTTGGTTAAGTTAGGTTAGGTTAAATTAAGTTAGGTTAGGCTAAGTTAGGTAAGGCTATGCTAGGCTAGGTGAGGTTCAGTTAGGCAAGGTTAGGTTAGAAAAAAAGTGTGACTAACTACTAAAACATGTCCTTTCCGGCATATTTATATGAATATACACAGATAAAAAAATATATAATTGGACAGATTAACTCACTCACTCTCTCTCCCACACACACACACACACACACACACACGCGCGCGCGCGCACGCACGCACGCAATCAGGAAGCACTCGCTTAAGTGTCTACCGTCCACAGATTGATGGTGGAGAGGTCGACACTCTCCAGCCCGGCACCTAGATTTATTCAGTATTCATCGTGAAGGCTATGAACGTAAAATGGTAGGCCATGAGAGAGAGAGAGAGAGAGAGAGAGAGACAGAGAGAGAGAGAACAAGAGAGAGAGAGAGAGAGAGAGAGAGAGAGAGAGAGAGAGAGAGAAGAGAGAGAGAGAGAGAGAGAGAGAGAGAGAGAGAGAGGAGAGAGAGACAGAGACAGACAGAGAAGACATGAGAGAGAGATAGAGACAGAGAGATGAGAGAGTAGACAAAGAGAGAGAGAGAGACAGAGAGAGAGAGATAAGACAGAGAGACAGAGACAGAGAGAGAGAGACAGAGAGAGAGAGACAGAGAGAGACAAGAGAGACCGAGAGAGAGAGAGAGAGAGAGAGAGAGAGGAGAGAGAGATAGAGAGAGAGATAGAGAGAGAGAGAAGAGAGGAGAGACTAGAGGGTGTTGGCCAGACCTCACTAGTTGTATCCATGGACCTCACAAGCGCAAGTCACCCCCAATATCGAGTTTCACTGTAATTATTATGAAGATAAATAGAGCTTTCACAGATCATTTTTCTCCAGGAGATGCTATTAAAATCACAAAACAGTTTATTCAGTTGATCAGATATTTATCTAAGCTCTCAAGTCCTCTGGAAAAGATAAATGCAAGTCTCTAGCAGGGCAAAATTTAGTTTTGAATATGTTGGCATCATCTGGATCAGTTGTTTTTGCTTTATTAAACTGCCTCACGCACACACACACACACACACGCACGCACGCGCGCACGCACACGCACACACAGTAGTTAACAGGTGGAATGCATTAGGCAGTGATGTGGTGGAGGCTGACTCCATACACAGTTTCAAATGTAGATATGATAGAGCCCAGTAGGCTCAGGAATCTGTACACCAGTTGATTGACAGTTGAGAGGCGGGACCAAAAAGCCAAAGCTCAACCCCCGCAAGCTCAACTAGGCGAGTACACACACACACACACTCAGAAAATGGGTATTATATCACTTTACAAAAAAAAAAAATATATTAAAAAACTCTACAATATATCAAAAATTCATATATACACCAAAAATATAACATTGCAACCTACGTACGCAAATATTACAAAAAAATAAACTTCCAGAATACAAAAAAAATGTGTAAAATCTATATCTTTAAACTTTCCAGAGGACAAGGTTTATAAGATGAAAGAACGCATGGAGACTGAAAACACCGCACGAATGTGGAGCAACGGATGTGGAGTGGTCTTAGGGGTGAGACGCACGATGAATGACACACCAGCATTTGGCCAGGACAATGGGCATTAGAGTTAAGGACTGAAGAATGATACTGGCGACACGAGATGACATTTAAGAAGAGACCAAAGTATCATGGAGAGGACCGGATCCGGTTGATGGGGCGCTTGGAGATTGAGGGAGGGAGGGGTGCTTGGAGATTGAGTTGAGGGGGGCGCTTGGAGATTGAGGGAGGGAGGGGTTCTGGAGATTGATTTGATTGGGGCGTTTGGAGATTGAGTTAGGGAGGGGCTTGGAGATTGATTTGAGGGGGGCGCTTGGAGATTGAGGAGGGAGGGTGTTTTGGATTGAGTTTATGGTGGCGCTTGGAGATTGAGGGAGGGAGGGTGCTTGGAGATTGAGTTGAGGGGGGCGCTTTGGAGATTGAGGAAGGGAGGGGTGCTTGGAGATTGAGTTGATGGGGGCGCTTGGAGATTGAGGGAGGGAGGGGTGCTTGGAGATGAGTGGAGGGGGTCGCTTGGAGATTGAGGGAGGAGGGTGCTTGGAGATTGAGTTGATGGGGGCGCTTGGAGATTGAGGGAGGGAGGGGTGCTTGGAGATTGAGTTGAGGGGGGCGCTTGGAGATTGAGGGAGGGAGGGGTGCTTGGAGATTGAGTTGATGGGGGCGCTTGGAGATTGAGGGAGGGAGGGGTGCTTGGAGATTGATTTGAGGGGGGCGCTTGGAGATTGAGGGAGGGAGGGGTGTTTGGAACTTGAGTTGAGGGGGGCGCTTGGAGATTGAGGTAGGGGAGGGGGTGCTTGGAGATTGAGTTGATGGGGGCGCTTGGAGATTGAGGGAGGGAGGGGTGCTTGGAGATTGAGTTGAGGGGGGCGCTTGGAGATTGACGGAGGGAGGGAGATTGGATATTGGAGTTCATTCAATCACACGCGGTAACTTAGGATCATGCCGGAGGAGAGAAGAGGTACTTCTGTGTTTACACAAAAGTACACTCACATACTGTACAGAGCAGAATACACTCTGCTGAATACAGTATACATTCAGCTCAGCACACTCAACACCGTAAACTCAGCACAACACAGTATACTCAGCTCAATACACGACACTTACCTTAGCACACTCAGGATACTAAACTCAGTTCAATACAGTAAACTCAGCTGAGCACAGTACACTCTCAACTCTACAGTTTACACAACAACGAACGCATTTACTCCCAGATATACAAACTAAAATTTTGGGTTGATACACACACACGATACATCATAAAATACAATAGACATATGACGCGATTAACCTATGAACAATACATTAGGGTTCAAAAAGCAATAATATTTCAAATTACACTAACACGAAACCCATAGATATATTAGGGCACGATTGGGATTATCCATAATACGATAATTTGAGTTCTTCAAAAATATACTCTTTTTCTACAATTAAAGAATAAACTAATTTCTAAAAGAAGCATATGAAAATGTAAGGAGTGACCTTGCGAAACGCATCCCTAGGCGTCAGACCAAAAATAAAAGTGAAAATGAACTTTGTAGAGTTAATTTTTCAACTTCCCCCGACAAGTGTAGAAAAAACATGAAATGTTGAAAAAAAGATTCGTGTCAGAATCATTAATCTTACCCTCTCGGTCATATTCAACAACATATATTTGCAAGAAAGACTGCTACCAAAATATACTAATATATATATATATATATATATATATATTATATATATAATATATATATATATATATATATATATATATATATATATATAAATTTGTTTTTTAAAGTTACCAGCGTTCCCCACACGCTCATTGAAAGCAGTTCAAGTTTTTGCAGGACGATGACAACGTCAGCTGCCGCATGGAGCGACTCCCGCCTCAACATGACAAGTGAATGTTGAACACACTTATGTGTACACTAGTTTTGGTTGGCGGCAGCAGCAGCAGCAGCAGCAGCGGCAGCAGCAGCAGCAGCAGCAGCGGCAGCAGCAGCAGCAGCGGCAGCAGCAGCAGCGGCAGCAGGCGAGTTCAGGGGTTCCAGATGCTATGTAGATAGGGTGTGCGGAGGGTAGTGTAGATGTGTAAGGTATATGGGATGGAGTAGAAGGGATGGCGTTCACTTTTTTTTCCCATGGAGTTCACTCTTTTCTTTGGCATGGATTAGACCACCAAGGGCGGGGGGGGGGGAGGAGGAAGGGTATGTAAAGGGATAGGTGATGATTTGATAGACAGTTTGGGTTGATGAAAAAGGGGGGTAGGATAGGAAGGTTGGGCCATATGATGGGTGGTGATGAACTGAAAGGGTGGTGATGATTCGAGGGCTGGTGATAGGAGAGGAGTGATGATGGGAGAGGTAGGGGGTGGTGATGTGATGGGTGAATACAGGTGATGGGTGATTACAAAGATGTCGGTGGGGGTGGGGGGGGGGGAGGGGGTTAGTTGGTTATAGTGTTCGGTTAAAGAGGGAGGAAGGGGAGGGGGGGGGGGGGTTATAATAATTCCTTGAGGCACCTCAGGTTCCTCCACATCTGCAACATTCCTGACAGGTTCCTCCACATCTGCAACATTCCTGACAGGTTCCTCCACATCTGCAACATTCCTGACAGGTTCCTCCACATCTGCAACATTCCTGACAGGTTCCTCAACATCTGCAACATTCCTAACAGGTTCCTCCACATCTGCAACATTCCTGACAGGTTCCTCCACATCTGCAACATTCCTGACAGGTTCCTCCACATCTGCAACATTCCTGACAGGTTCCTCAACATCTGCAACATACCTGACAGGTTCCTCCACATCTGCAACATTCCTGACAGGTTCCTCAACACCTGTAACATAACTGACAGGTTCCTCAACATCTGCAACATACCTGACAGGTTCCTCAACACCTGCAACATATCTGACAGGTCCCTCAACACCTGCAACATATCTGACAGGTCCCTCAACACCTGCCACACAAGCTGAGGCTCACTCCAACAAGTGCTCATCATCCTAATTAAAATAATGAATACTTTACTTATAAGAATGTACTTATTGACTTGTTTCACTAACCGCTTGTGTGTAATCAACTAGATGTTCTTGCCGGGGGTTGAGCTTCGGTTCTTTGGACCCACCTTTTAACTGGTGTGCAGGTTTGTGTGTACGTGTGTGTGTACGTGTGTGTGTGTGAGTGTGTGTGTGTGTGTGTGTGTGTGTGTGTGTGTGTGTGTGTGTGTGTGTGTGTGTACGTGTGTGTGTGTGTACGTGTGTGTGTGTTGTGTGTGTGTGTGTGTGTGTGTGTGTGTGTGTGTGGTGTGTGTGTGTGTGTGTGTGTGTATGTGTGTGTGTGTACGTGTGGTACGTGTGTGTGTGTGTATGTGTGTGTGTACGTGTGTGTGTGCGTGTGTGTGTACGTGTGTGTGTACGTGTGTGTGTGTGTACGTGTGTGTGTACGTGTGTGTGTGTGAGAGAGCCGGGGTCAGTTCAGTTCATTCCTGTATGTCTAAGGATTACCAAGGAAGCTCAAAATAATTTTCTTATGATCATCCAGACTTTTATGGCTGGAGTTACGATGTAGGCTCCGGACCATCAATCACGGTGTTAAGAGCCGTTGTTCCACTACCTACGTTCTTCCCCTTCCATAACTACCTATCACTGCTCAAAAAAAAAAACTAACAAAACATTAGGTTTTTTATATAATTTTTTAAGCCCTCAATAAAAAAATATCTTACCTTAAAAAAACTTAATTTTGTTTTCGGCACGAACGTAAAATTTTGGCGCTGTATTACAAAAGAATGTAAATAGAAATGTATTTTTTTTTACAGTCTTGCTGTATTGGGAGAATTATCCCGAGGCAAGCGTGACTCTCCTTTTATTGAGCAGTATTGGATATTAGTTTTTTTTCTCAAATAATACATGCCTTGGATACCAGGGGTCAGTGCCTTGGATACCAGGGGTCAGTGCCTTGGATACCAGGGGATCAATGCCTTGGATACCAGGGGATCAATGCCTTGGATACCAGGGGTCAGTGCCTTGGATACCAGGGGGTCAGTGCCTTGGATACCAGGGGATCAATGCCTTGGATACCAGGGGTCAGTGCCTTGGATACCAGGGGTCAGTGCCTTGGATACCAGGGGGTCAGTGCCTTGGATACCAGGGGATCAATGCCTTGGATACCAGGGGTCAGTGCCTTGGATACCAGGGGATCAATGCCTTGGATACCAGGGGTCAGTGCCTTGGATACCAGGGGTCAGTGCCTTGGATACCAGGGGTCAGTGCCTTGGATACCAGGGGATCAATGCCTTGGATACCAGGGGATCAATGCCTTGGATACCAGGGGATCAATGACTTGGATACCAGGGGTCAGTGCCTTGGATACCAGGGGTCAGTGCCTTGGATACCAGGGGATCAGTGCCTTGGATACCAGGGGTCAGTGCCTTGGATACCAGGGGATCAATGCCTTGGATACCAGGGGTCAGTGCCTTGGATACCAGGGGATCAATGCCTTGGATACCAGGGGATCAATGCCTTGGATACCAGGGGATCAATGCCTTGGATACCAGGGGATCAATGCCTTGGATACCAGGGGATCAATGCCTGGATACCAGGGGTCAGTGCCTTGGATACCAGGGGATCAATGCCTGGATACCAGGGGTCAGTGCCTTGGATACCAGGGGATCAATGCCTTGGATACCAAGGGATCAATGCCTTGGATACCAGGGGATCAATGCCTTGGATACCAGGGGATCAATGCCTTGGATACCAGGGGATCAATGCCTTGGATACCAGGGGATCAATGCCTTGGATACCAGGGGATCAATGCCTTGGATACCAGGGATCAATGCCTTGGATACCAGGGATAAATCCAACAGCTCCCCGCACACTCTCTCTCAGGTTGTGTTATCTGAGTGTCTTAGCGCCAAGTTGTTATCCTTACAACCTTAGTGTCACAACCCATGGTGTGTGTGTGTGTGTGTGTGTGTGTGTGTGTGTGTGTGTGTGTGTGTGTGTGTGTGTGTGTGTGTGTGTGTGTGTGTGTGTGTGCGTGTGTGTGTGACCATACATGTGTAATCCTGACCTCTACGAGGCGAATGTATCCCACTGCGCCACAAATTCGCAATCCTTATTCCCATTATGTTTACACCTGGCTAATTACCCTGTAGCCAATCCAAGCTACGCAACAGTGCAGTTGTGGGAGCTACTCAAGCTGGGGGAGCTACTCAAGCTGGGGGAGCTACTCAAGCTGGGGGAGCTACTCAAGCTGGGGGAGCTACTCAAGCTGGGGGAGCTACTCAAGCTGGGGGAGCTACTCAAGCTGGGGGAGCTACTCAAGCTGGGGGAGCTACTCAAGCTGGGGGAGCTACTCAAGCTGGGGGAGAAGACGGAGAGAGAGAGAGCGACAGAGAGAAAAAAAATCTATATTAAGACTAAGCTTGCCTGAGTAATCGTACGTGTTATCAACCTGTCCGAAGGTCTTAAATGTCCCTTCTAAGGTTACAAAAAGGTCTCCAATTAACTTCTAAGGGGCCTTGATATCCCCTGCAACAATGTGGTAGAGAGTGAGAGAGAGAGAGAGAGAGAGAGAGAGAGAGAGAGAGAGAGAGAGAGAGAGAGAGAGAGAGAGAGAGAGAGAGAGAGGCAGCGGTCCAAGTCTCATTCCAGCGATTCGGACAAAAAAATAATAATAATAAAGGTGGTGCTGAGCAAGGAATCGGACACATTCCCCTCAGATCTCCGTATTTAGTCAGACGAGAATGTAATCTGACCGCTTACACTCGCTGACTCGCATAATTCATTTTTGTTTAAGATACTCTTGCTTAAATCAGCTTTAATTAAGTAGTTTTTAATTATTATTCTTGTTTTTTTTACTGTGTTCTATTGTATCTTACACATTTTTTCCCCTTTTGACTTTTAATCTTTCTTTGTCTTTCTCTCTCTCTCACTCTCTCTGACTTAGTATTTGTTAATCTTTTTGTGTACCTGTCTCTCTTCCTTGTACTTTATATTTGCTATTCTCTCTCTCTCTCTCTCTCCTCACTTTCCCACCTTCTGGACCATTATTGAGCATCTCAATCTGTTTACTAACATCAGCAGTCAGTGACTGGTGGAAGGTCTATACAACATCTTAATGTTCACATCACGTGTTCATTTACAACGCTCGACTGGTCAACAAACTTTACAAACAATACACATTACCATCCACACTGAGATGGAAATAAACATTCCATTCACCACGGCTGTATGGGGACTCGAACCCTGGACTCACAAACAAAACCAATGTATAACCCCCGTTTAAATAACACCGTGTAACATTTTTTTTTTACATTTTTTGGGGGGTTCATGGGTAATTCTTTATTTTCTGATTGCTTAGGGCCTATAAAATATATATCATTATTATAAGTTTCATAAGTCGGCAGCCAACAGACACCTTCAAGTCGCCTCCCCTGAGCTGTCTAAGACAAAGATCAAAGCAGAGTTTAAGGGAAATAAGAGCCATTATCTTTACTTCGAAGACATAAAAAATCAGAAAATCTCACTTTCTTCCCAGGCACAAAAATGCTACATTGTGTTCATAGTAAGATGTTCACTTATTGCCCCCATAGAATGATAAACTGGTAATAATGAATGATGAATGGGGAAACTGATAATAATGAGTTTAACCAACGTGTAGAGATGTCTGAGATGAATAAAATATATAATGGTATGTCGAAAGTACGGAAAATAAAATTCAATATGGCATTCCAATGTATATTAACAAATACTTTCTCAGTCTATGTTACTTGGCCAGTCTGTGTTTCTGTTTCTCTCTCTGTCTGTTGATTTATTCGTCTGTCTTGTTTGTTTCTGAATCGCTGTCTCTCTCATATATGAAATTATTAGAGCAAGAATTCGGCAATGTGATGTTATAGAGGCCAGAATATGCCAGGGTATAGATGTATCTATGGCACCTTTCTCAAAATCCAAATGTCAGAGTTGACCTCTGTGTCAACTTTGTGAAAGAGAAAACATTGACCATTATATTGTAGAATGTCCCATATTGACTAACGTTCGCTCTCCTGGGTTGAGATATGCTGAGCTCTGTAAATATTACTAGAATACTGAAACACTTGATATATTGAGCTTGTACCCAAGATTGATTATGTAGTGCATCAGTTATGCAATATATGTGATGTAACTTTAACTAGAGCTTTTAAAAGCACCTTAATCACCTTCTGTGGTTAAGTGCGTAACAACTCCCTAGTTTCTATCTTACCTTGTCAAAGTAGTAGAGACGTAGGAATATATGAATTAAGGCACCCGCAAGAGG